AATCATTCATTTTTCTTCCAATGCACTGTGAAATACTGTCCCCTGCTAGGCACAAGCTTTCTGTGCACCAGCTTGTCATCTGCCTGTTGACCTTTTCTTTCCACTTGGAACAGTTATGCAATTACCTAGCTTTGCCATGAAGAGATATCTTTTCCTCTCTGTTTAGCTTTTACTATCTATCTCTTGATTTTTACTTCTGTTGTTTTGTCTTCTACTGTTTTCCCAGGGGAAAGACTTCTGCTCAAATTGAGATTTAGCACCAAAACGTTTAAAACTTGCTTGCTGTATGTATAAATTTGCTATCTTCTGTAGCTTCTGTCTCAATGTAGACTGAATGCAGTATTTTCCAAAATCCAGCTTCAGCTTCTAGAGCCAATCTGACTGTCCTGCCTTCCTGTGATTGCCAAACTTCACATTCACCTTCAGGATCACTACCCTGCTTGCATTTGTCTCCGAGCCAGCAACACTACTCGGGAACATGAGCACAGCCTAGGGGATCTCGGATCCATTGCCTTGGAATATGCCTTCAGTGACAGAATGTATGCTCATTCTCCACAACTCATCCTGGCACCATCAAAAAGCCATCCCTGTACATGAGTAGCCTCTCCTGCTCTGCTCTGGTAAAGTCTGCTTTCCCAAATGCATTTTGTACAGGGTACAATTTCTGCAGACAATATACAGAAACATGAACCCCAGGATACAGTCCTTGCTCAAACAAATCTGCCTGGCCACCCCTTTTTGAACTAAAATCTCTTTGCCAAATCATGCCACTTATAGTGCCTGGGCATATGGATGAATCCTAATTATGGGAATAAAATACATGAAGATACAAATTAGCAACATTATTCTTCACATAAATGACACCAAATGTACCCAGTTTACTCCTTTGCCAGGCAGCAACTGAAAACTACAGTCATTTAAACATTCTAGCTTCTGTCCCTAAAAATATACTGATAATAGAAGGGAAAAATGTCCAAACCCCCCTCAAAACCCAGGAAGGGCATACCTGAGAGAAGTTAAAATGCTGTTTCAGAGCTTTAGTCTATTCTGAGTAAGAAGTCAAAGTTTCATTAAATCCATCTCAAATTTGGTTGGTTTGTCACAAGGGCTAGGATGCAATGTTTCCGAGATCTGTATTGTTTAAAAATATTTTGATCAACTATTGTAGCATCAGTGCAACTCTAGCAATGTTTTAAAAAATGGAAGTGATATAAATGAATTCATCTGTAGTTAGTGGATTAGGCACCTCCAAAAGCACAGTGGGATATAAACATATGGAACTTTATATGAATATGGAAATCAGATGTCTGCGTTATGAAAGAGCACGTTTGTGTAATGGGTCCTTTGGTGTTTCTCAGCATTGCTATGTTTATTGCAGCTGCCTTTGGTTTTGGGCTACTATTTTGCAAGGCCAAGGAGTCTGCAAATATTGAGAGGCTCACAAGCTGCCATTAAAGCTTTGATGTGCAAGAATGCTTCTTTAGTTGTAGCAATGAAGAACATGAATTCTGCTTCTAGAATTCTTCTTAAGTGTGCCTCTGATGTCTTGTAATACTTAAACATATCTAAGCAAAGTTATCCTTAACAAAAATTATTAATATTCAACTTTAATCTTAATCCAATCCAACAGCATGCATCGTGATTGTGAGGAAATAATGCTTGTAACTCCAAGACAGAAAAGCAGGGATCGAACCCAAGGTGGAAACTGGAGCTGGGAAGCTCAGTCCAGTGACAGCTGAAAAAGAAAATACAAACACTTGAGGATGCCCAGGAGGACAGACCTGTAAGTAATGAGAACTTAAAGAAAAGCTATAGGATTTTCAAAATGTTGATTTTAAAACAGTATATAATCCATGCAATCGACACTGCTGGTATCAAATTAACAAACAGACTAAGCCCAACATGCCCCACATCATCACCAGAGGACCCAAAAGTAGGGCTTCTCATTTTAGTGAATGTTGCTTCTGTTTCCCACCAGTGTAAAACGGCCTGATTAAAAGGGTTCCTTTGCAAATGCTATCGTTATTTTAAATCCTCTGGGTCAATTTTTTTTTGTACTCAAGTGAATACTGAGTTGGAACAATTTACACTGATCCTATAAGAAATAGTAAGGAAAGGGAGTTTAGCTATAACTCATGAAGGTAGTTTTTCTCACAACATCAGAGAAAAGCTATTGCTGCAAAAAGGATTTCAAAGGTCCTTGTAGCCACAATATGAAATCTACTTCTCTATAGCATTCAAACCCTTCTGCTTTACTATTAAAGATAATACCACATAAATACAACTTAATCCAGGCATCTGAACTGCCTTCTGCAACATATGTATGATCTTTCCATTTTTATACACAACAAATCTGATAAATAGAGATTATATAAAGAGAAATTGTTGGAGCATTACAGCACAGACTAGTTTCCTTCTTTTCAAGTAATCCCAACATATACAGCCAGAGGAGTCTAATAATTGTGGAAAAACCTGACTTTTGATAGGAAAAAGAAAACAGTTTGTGTTAAAAAAATTCCCTGACTTTGAGCGTACTTTACTTTGTGCTAAATATTTTTAAATGCTTAAGATTCTCAAAGCTCTATATCAAAAAAGAAATCAAATTTCTGCTTTATTTTGGGGTTTTTTCCAAATACTGCCATCATCTCTGTTTTCAACAGCCCTCTGAGGTTGCAAAAACAAGAATAAAGAAGGAGGAACAGAATTAGACATATCTGTTAGGATTAGGAGTAAAAACAAAATCTCAAAAATCTCAAATCTCAAAAAGTATTTAGGACAAAATTATCACAGATAACCAAACTCTTGGATGCTCATTCCTCAGGGAGATGAGCACTGAGAGAAACAGAGTGTGCAGAATTTGGTCCTGGGACCAGAAAACAAGCCACAGAGCAGAAGATAGAAAAGATTTGTAAGAAAAGACCTGTAAAGACCTGTATTGACACTTGGAAAAGTGTGATGATTCAGATACAAACAGCCACTGAAGAAGATAATCCTGAAGAAGAGCACTAGCTTTCTTGTGAAGGAATGCTGTCAAAGTTTAAATTGCATTGTTTATTCCTCTAAGCAGGTGGATAAGCCCGAGAAACACAGGAACACACCGATGCATTTCTAGGTGGAATGTCCTGCAACATGAAAATAATTGAAGTAATAATCCTGTGGTCCTCTAAACAGCTATCATCTGTATTTCTTGCAAGCAATTAAAACCAACCAAATAATGGTGATTATTTGGCTGCAAGATGAAATGCTGAAGAGACTGGAACATGGAGAGGTATGGTGCAATTCCAACAAGACAAGGAAGACTCTTCACAGGGGCACTACATTAGCACAGGCCAGCGGGAAAATCTGGCACTGAGGAGGCAGTGGTCATCATGTACAGGCAGGAGAGGGCAAAATGAAGGCAGCTTCAGTAGGGAATTGTCTGCAGTACAAAGCTATATCACTAAGTTTGCAAAGTTGCCATCACAACTGTTCTCACAAAGCAGCATTTTCTAGTTTGTTTATAAAACAAAATGGCTATAGCCAAGTGAGTCTGTATAAATCGTGAAAACTTTCATGAACATTTGGAACCAGACTTTCAGGGCAGGCATCAACAAGAGGCACAATACAGATACGACTAGCTTGCTGAAATCCAACTGCTGGTCTGCTCTGATGGGCCACAAGCATCCCCACAGCCCTTGCAGGAGGTCCAACCAAGGCTGGAAGGAAATACCACTCAGTCCAAAGCCCAGGAGGTATGTGCAACCTCTTCACCACAGAAAATTGCATTCACCTACTCAGGACACAGAACTGTTATGTGACAAATGTGGCCAACCTCAGTGATTGGATACAAGGTCTTACAGATTCTACCACCATCAACATCAGGTGCCCTGGTCTTCCCACAGCGCTTAGTATTCACCAGATAGCTCTAAGCAATGTGGAAAAAGGACATAAACTCTACGAGTCAGCCAACCAACAAGACAGGACAATACACTTCTCTTTGGAAATGGGATACAGTGCAGTGCTCCCTGCTCTCACAGCATTGCCATCTTCCGAGTAAAGGCCAAGGTTTGTTCTAATTAGTTCTCTCCATCTGCACAAACCAGGACCTACAAAATGTCCCACTTCAAACAGAACATCTGCATGGGCTCTGTCTGAAAATGAGAGCCTGAGAAAGGGGCTCCACTTGGTATTGTGAGAGACGTGGGTTTTACTCATCGCACACTTTCAAATCTAAATTCCTCTGGGGTTTTGCTGACTGCCAGAGCAAGCCCCTGAAGACAGACTTACACCGGTATGCTGATAGCAGAATCAATCCCCTGATATACTACTACTCATGAGCTCGGAGCAGAAAAGCTGAAGTACTACTCCATCCTTCCTCCTCCTCCTCTACCCTCTGCCATATATAACAAAAAACCAAACAAACATGTATTTCACAGCTCCAAATAATGATTCTTTTGGGGACTAAGATGTGACGCCTCCCCC